AAATAGAAAAGATTTTGGTATCCAAAACAGACTCTGATATTGATAATGTTGAAAAAAGTATATGTAGTGAACAACATGTTATCCAAACCGAGACTATACATAGTTCTGATGAGGTTGTCATAGAACCTTCAGTGCCTCTGTCAGTTGATACTAAACAAGAAGTAGAACCAGTGAAAACAAAGCCACTGGATGATATTCTAGTCACAAAGTCTGAAATTATTCAATCCTCTTTGGTTGATCAAAGTAATATTGAGGTATCGCCTTCTGTTGAGGCAGATATTCCAACAATTAAACCCACCCCCACTGTGCTAATAGACAATAGTGCTGCCACTGCAAGTGAGATGAAAACTGTGCCTGAAGAAACGCCGCCGCTACCTGATGTAGAAAAGACATTCTATGCAGAAAAAGATGCTCATGAGTTGCCACTTGGTGAACAGTCTAAAAGTGGTGTAGTTTTACCAACAAGCAAGGAATCTATATTTATGAGGTTGAATAATCGAATCAAGGATTTGGAGTACAATATGTCTTTAAGTCAGCAGTATTTACAGGAACTAAGTCAAAGGTAGGTAATAGAACTTATTTTGTAGAGATTTTGAGTCAAAATGTAATCTAAAAAATCAAGTTGATTCAGTGACTGCTTGGGAAAGGTCTTCAAGAACAAAATTATGATTCCTGTGGCTCTAGGACACTTCCCAAGATGCAACACTTGTATACTCCATCATATTCCATAACATTTTTGAAATTTTTTCTATAATTTCTTTGATAAATTACCGGTAATCTTGATTCAAAATGGAATCCCTCAAAAACTTTTTGACAGCTGAGGAGTTTGGTTTTAAAAAAAATATAAAATTGTATATTTAATATACTATTGGTGATTTGAGCCACAGACAAACTTGTTGTGGCTCCTTATTTCTTTTGTTTTCACACTTAAAAAGGGAATTAATTGTACTAAAAATTCAAGTTTTATACATGTAACTATAGTAAAATGTTTTTCAAGATTACTACGACACACACAAATGTATATCAATGTTTGAATTAGTTACTTCCTTTCTGCTTAGAGTGCATGCTACTACAAATCACATAACATACACTGTATGTAGTGTAGCATGTATGATACTACCGGTAACTAAAACACTTACATTCATGATTTTCAGTTCTATTTGTAGCAATAATTCTTTCCTAAATTACTGTTATTGTCACCGTGCTTAAATTAATTCAAATTCTGTTGTTTATCCTAGGTATCGAAAGCAGATGGATGAGATGCAGAAAAATTTTAATAAAACTGTTGGTAGACTTACTGATAGTTCACAGATAGCTGATGAGAAGGTAAAGTTTCCTGTGCACTTCTATCCATGTGTAATTGTAGTATGTTCCTTAGTAACAAGTTTGATAACAGATTTTGTTTCTCCTTGTTTGGATTAAGTCTCATAACTTCACCTGTGCGCATGTGTGCGAATATGTCTTTATCTGTCCGTGCATCTTAAACATACCGGGATAGATAATGCATCTTGGGATACATATGCACATGCATTCATTGTGTGATGTGATTAAAGATGACCGAATGACAGCCATTTTAGTACTAAACATTCATCAAAATCAGTCCTTTCTGTCATTCCAGAACAGGATCAAGTCGACATTTACACATAAGTTGTACACCAGTCAATTTTGGATTCATAATGACTGACCAGTTTCATTTTTGTCTGTTGCACGATAGAGACTTTGTCATGTCAATGAGATACTTTTTGTGAACATATAATAGCTTATTTTTTTTGTCTCCTTTTTGATGAGACCGAAAACTAGGAACTTGTGAATTGACCTCTATGTGTACGCCTGTCAGTGTGTTCGTCCATACATTCCCTTCTGTATCTCAAATATGCATGGACTGATCACATTAAAATTTTACACATACATGTTACATCTTCGAATACATATGCACGTCCAATTGATCCATGATCTGACATAAAATGATCGAACAACTTTCATTTTTGTACTAAACATTTGAACATAAGACTGAATACAATTTGATTGCACTGAAATAAGATTGTGTGAATATGTTTTATTTTCAGATGATTGATCCATGATCTGACATAAAATGATCGAACAACTTTCATTTTTGTACTAAAAACCTGTCATGTATGGATGAATTTCATTCAGACTTGGTACATACATTCAACATTAATGTATTTGGCGGCTATTTTGTTTTAAGAAATGCTGTTCCATGCCTTGACCAATGTTCAAACTTCCTACATGTATATACACTATACACTATGTCGCAAATATGGGCAGATATTCATTTCACAAACCAATTCAAGATGGCCTAATGACAGCCATTTCAATGTTAAAAACCTACATTTAGATCTCAATAATACATGTACATAGAAAATTGGTAAATGCGTTGAACATAATGGGGCCATGATGTTTTCAGATGAGATTTCAACTTGGTCGAATGACAGAAATTTGGTATTAATGAATGTTGTTCTAGACACATGCCTTGACTCACTATATTAACATGTATTTTATATTCATGTTCAGAATAAAAATACCTGAATCATTTCAGTTTTGTTAACTATTGACTTTCTTATTTTCTTCCGTCTGCCTAAAAACTGGTGCTTAGTATGTATTTTTTTGTCAGTAGAAAAATACAAATAAACAAGTGAAATTACATTTGATTCTGGTGCAGAATCCAGTTTCAATGATTTAAAAACTGCAATTTTATTTACACATTTTAATATGAAAATACTTTGTCTTGAATTGCAGAGTTGATCTAGTTAATCATAAGTTGACTTTTTGTATTTTTGTGTTCTACAGGACCACAAACAACAGGATACAATAGAGAATCTAGAAACTCAGCTTGCTCGTTTGACAAAATTAGTTGAGAATGTCTCACTGGAAATGAAAGATATGCAACATCAAGTAAGTACTGTCTTTTTTTGTGTTGTCTGAAAAATTCTGAACCAAACTGGGACTTCAAATGTCTTTCTGCAACCAGTAACTGTTACTTGCAATTCTTTTTAAAAAAATGACTTTTTCTTGATATCAATATGCAAGTGTAAATGACCATAGGCCAGATGTTTTAGTAATGTTTTTGTGCATAACATCTTTTTCTCGATGTTGATGCCACTGTACTTATTACCGGTAGTGACACACATGTGTATACAGACAATAATCATGATATTGACGATTGTTCTTGTTTTACAAATGAATTGTTTTAAATTCTCCATGATTAAAATGGTTGCATTTGAACATAAGACTGAATACAGTTTGATTGCACTGAAATAAGATTGTGTGAATATGTTTTATTTTCAGATGATTGAACGGCATTTCTTTCTAATGCTTGTAGAAGTTGTCAGTCTGAGCTTTCTCTTTTTATTCTGTGTTACACGGCAGAGAAGAAGAGTTCATGACATTGCACCAAATAAGCCTGTGATTACAATTGATTCTCATTCCAAGAAAAAAACAAAACTTAAAAGACGTAATTCTGTTGATGGATCAGTTGGACATAAAAAATTAGAATTAGGTAAATTGAAAAAGAAACATCATGATGACGAGAATATTTCAATAACTGGTAAGTTGATTGTTGATGTTGTTCTAGTTAAAACTTATGTACATGTAAGCCTTGGTTCATACGGGCAAGATAGTATTGCAAATATTCCATATTAGTGGGCAAATAAACCTATGTACTGTTCATATGTCGCAGTGGTTTGTACATAGATACTGGTATTATTTTGAATCCCTGATAGAGGGTGTTATTTTAACCTGCATATATCTTATCAAGGTTAAACATTGAAATTGAAGGTTATGACAAGCCCACAGACTGAAAGCTAAACTTAGCACCTGTTTTCACCATTCTTGTTTTTGAATAGTATGTTAAAACTTAATGCCAACTTATAGTAACTTTCTTCTGAAACATAGTGAATCTTGTTTACTTATTGCTGAAACATAGTGAATCTTGTTTACCCTCTGCTGAAACATAGTGAATCTTGTTGACTTTCTGTTGAAACATAATGAATCTTGTTGACTTTCTGTTGAAACATAGTGAATCTTGTTGACTTTCTGTTGAAACATAGTGAATCTTGTTGACTTTCTGTTGAAACATAATGAATCTTGTTGACTTTCTGTTGAAACATAGTGAATCTTGTTTACCCTCTGCTGAAACATAATGAATCTTGTTGACTTTCTGTTGAAACATAATGAATCTTGTTGACTTTCTGTTGAAACATAGTGAATCTTGTTGATTTTCTGTTGAAACATAGTGAATCTTGTTTACTTATTGCTCAAACATAGTGAATCTTGTTTACCCTCTGCTGAAATATAGTGAAACTTGTTTACTTATTGCTGAAACATAGTGAATCTTGTTTTCTCTTTGCTGAAATATAGTGAATTTTGTTTACACTTTTCTGAAAGGTTTACTCTTTGTTTGTCGTTTTCTTTCTAGGTGATTACAGTGATTTGTTAATAGTGAAACCAACCAAGTCTCTATCAGTGGTATTAAAAAAGGTAAATCTCTTCAATGATCATAACTTGTTGTTATAAATGTTTCCATAGTGATGCCACATACTCTGAGTCAATGCAAACATAAATACAAGATTGTGCCTGATTGGTTACTCAACCCTACCAGTCTGACCAATTAAAGAGAATCTTGTTTGTTGACAGTTTTTATTCGATGTATTGAATTCTGCTTTGATTCAACTGCTTATACCTTTGTGTCTCTGATTAAGAGTATAGTAGACTTTGTAAGATATTTGAGCTTAATTTTTTGCATGTTTAGATAAACCTGCCATGGTATACATATTTTGGTAGGTTGTATT